CCTTAGCCACTTGAGCCACAAGCACCGAGCCCAAAAGATTCCATTGTTATCAGGCCCTGCCCCACCCCATCCCCTGCCCTGCCCCCTGTACCACCACCCCCATGTTGTTCCGCTTTACCAATGTTAAAATCTGGTCACCCTACTTAAGAAAGAACACTGGAATGGACCAGGACAGGCTGGCAATGAGTCTTCTCAAGTTAGACTTTCCTACCTTAAAAAAAAAAAATTTTTTTTTTTGAGACAGAGCCTCAAGCTGTCGCCCTGGGTAATGTGCTGTGGCATTATAGCTCACAGCAACCTCCAACTCCTGGGCTTAAGCGGTTCTCCTGCCTCCACCTCCCAAGTAGCTGGGACTACAGGTGCCTGCCACAACACCCAGCTATGGTTTAGTTGCAGCTGTCATTGTTGTATGGTGGGCCCAGGCTGGATTTGAACCCATCAGCTCAGGTGTATGTGGCTGGTGCCTTAGCCGCTTGAACTATAGGCACCAAGCCACTCAAAAAAATTTTTTTAACTTTCATGTGCATTATATATTTTAAGTACACAGAGAAAATTATATAAGCAACATTTTACTTTTATTTTTAATTAAAGCTTTTTAAAATTTAACTTTTCTACATTGGAAACCATTCTAAGATTTTAATTTGTTCAACAGTGATTTTAAGTGCAAACCATACAATGTGAACATTTTCAAAAAAAATTTTTTTTGAGACAGAGTCTTACTCTGTCACCCTGGGTTGAGTGCCATGGCATCATCATCATAGCTCACAGGAACCTCAAACTCTTGAGCTCAAGCTAGCCTCTTGCCTCAGCTTCCCAAGTAGCTGGCACTACTGGCACCTGCCACAATGCCTGGGTAATTTTTTCTATTTTTAGTAAAAATAGGCTCTCACTTCTGCTCAGGCTGGTCTCAACTCCCAAGCTCAAGCAATCCAAACTGCTACATCAATCCACAGCAATCCTCTCAGAGTGCTAGAATTATAGGCACAAATTTCTTTCTGACGAAAATCACTTCCAGGGCCACGCTTGTGACTCAGTGGGTAGGGCTCTGGCCCCATATACCAAGGGTAGTGGGTTTGAACTGCAACAAAAAAATAGCCGGGTGTT